AGCAAGAGTTTGGCAGGGGTCTGTGTGTGTATGTGTGTATCCAGGGGCCAGCCTGTGGCTGTGTACAGCAGAGGTTTTCAGCAAGGACAACACATGGGACTCTGTCCTTGTCTAACCCCCTGGAAATAGAACAAAGCTGTGTGTGTGTGTCTATGTGTAATGAAGTAGCGATGTCCTGACTATGAGGTATAGCTAGTAATAATAATAGCATGGTCAGAGGTCCAGCAGGCCATCAGAGACAAGCTACGTAGAGCTTATAAAAGCACTAATAAAAGACTGCAGCAGGTCACCTTATGTTAGAGATACAGTAAAGGATGATTACTGTCCTTTACATTTAATGACCAATGTGTGATTAATTATCCACTCAAACAAAGTCCTGATAATATTAGGATAATCACCTTTATTGGCCAAGTATGTTACACACAAGGAATTTGTTTCCGGTACAGAACCGATGGCAGCCATCTGCGGCGGCACCTCAGCCAATAGCTCAAACTGTCGGGGGCAACGTGATGGGGGGGTTCAGTGTCTTGCCCAAGAACACTTTGACACATGGACTGCAGGCACCGAGATTTGAACCTTCAACCCTCTGGTTGGGAGACGACTGCTCTACCCACCGCACCACTGTTGCCTCCCCAGGTGCTGTGGAGGGTAGAGCAGTCGTCTCCTCTAACAAGAAGGTATAACACAAGTGCGTTAGGAGGAAACATGGCCATTAGCGAACTGAGCTACATTACCGACCTTAATGTTTAATTCTGATCTTTTTGTCAGAGCTGATCTTCTTCTTTTGATTCATGTTTGTGCAATTTCCTCACAAACTGCTCGGTTACAATATGTTCCTTTCAGCTTGGTGTGATCAGAAGCCATAAATCTCCAACAAACGTGAAACATCCTTGTCTCTCCACTGGCCCACATCACTATTATGGCTATTCTCTATGTTTACCTTTGCCAGTCTGTGAAGGGCCAACAGTGAATGATGACAGCAGGCAATATGCGAATGAGCTGAGGAGTGAGGCGTTAAAAAAAAAGAAGTGATTTCCAGTCTTACCTTTCTGACAGTGGTATTGTGGTCAAGTATTGGATATGAACTGGATATAGAACCAAATGGATGTGGTCCTGATGTGATTTGAAAAAAATCTGATTTGGGTTGTTCACACATTTGTGAGAAGATCAGATCAAGTCAAAATTGGATTTGAGTCACTTTGGCATCTAGTCTGAACGTAGCTTTAGAGTCAAGTTTACAACACTGCCACATATCAAAATGCCTTCTTCCTTTTTTACTCCTTTACTCTTCTTTACTTATCGCTTGCATAGTTTTTGATTTAAAGGTGAGTTTTGCCAATTCAAAACAGTATATCAAAATGCCTTCTTCCTTTTTTACCCCTTTACTCTTCTTTACTTATCGCTTGAATAGTTTTTGATTTAAAGCTGAGTTTTGCCAATTCAAAACAGCATTTTTAATAGTTTTCTATTTGTGTTTAGACATTTAAAATTCAAGTTGCTGTAGAGCAATGATAGTGTAAACAGACTCTAGGAATTACATGTCTACAAGGCACACAACAGCTAGCAGATGTCACGTCTGTGTGAGGCCACATTTGTCTGTAGTGAAATCACGTCGACTGAATGCTCTACTGTGCCTCAGTCTGAGCTGTTGACTCTACGGTAATGATGCAAGTCAGGCTAAACATAACAAACCATTAGCGTCCTCAGCATGCCGGCAACAGTGCTGGGAAGATGGCAATCTCACTTCTGTGTGTGCAAGCTTGACAGATACTGGGGATGCAGATTAGTTTACAAGAATGAAGCACCAGCAATAAATAAATCCAGGATAACTGATGTTATTGCAAGCTACTATTCTAAACAATTTTTACTCTGGTTGTGTTCCTTAAAAGCTGTGGTTTGGACATAAAGTCAATAGAGGGCCTGGTTTTTGATGGAGCAGAACATGAGCATTGCTTTTTGATCATCATGTCACATAGTGAATGTGGGTCTACGTGTGTCCTAGAATTTATTCAAAGCTTCGGGGACAGATCTGTGCAACAGCATTTAGTTATTTATTTCAATCATCCTGTGATCTGTAAATGTTCAAGACCCAGGCTTGTCATCCTGATAATGTTCTTAAAGGAGGGAGGAAAGGAAGGATGAGAGGAAGGAAGAAAAGATTGTCTCAGAGAGCTGCAGGCACGTGAAAGCAAAAAAATAGACTAACCCTGAGGGACAGACATGATTTCCCACCAGTCAAGCTCAGGGAACCTTGACAGAAGAAGGAAAGGGATGACAGAAATATGTAAAAAGAGAAGGAAGACAGAAAAGTGGGAAGAATAGTTTATCAGGGAGAGGAGTAGTATGGCGAACAAGGGAGGAAACGAGTGAAAGAAATGAATAGAGATCTACTTCTGGTCTGTCTTTATCAGAGGAAACAAGCGGAAGTGCATGGGTTACTTTTCAGTCCCTCTCTGTTCTCCTCCTCATCTGTCTCATCTTCTCTGCATCACTTCTCTTGCCTTCCTGCTGTTTATTTGCTCTTGTTTTTCTCCTTTTGTCCTTTTTCTTCTTCTCAAATTACTCGCAAAACTGTTCCAAATTTGAGAACATGTTTATGTAAATCATACAAAAGCCAAAGCACTGTGTGTGTATGTGTGTGTGTGTGCGCGTCTCCCCCCCTACTCACTCTGCCTCACTAAGCATCTTTGTTCACTGAAGTTAAACTTTGCTGTGTGTTTGCCTGCCTTTGAATGTCTGGTAGGAGACAGACAATGTCCGCCACAGGCATTTTTACAACCTTTTTTTGACCTGAAACTCAAAAGCCCTGACAGCTTTGCTGTTTTGTAGGGTTATGGTGATTGATTATACTCTACAGAGGCGATGCCGTCTTATAATGAACAGGAAAATGATGGCATGTTAATCTGTGTAGTGGGATGCTGGATTCTATTGGTATGTGTGTGTGTGTGTGTGTGTGTGTGTGTGTGTGTGTGCTTTGTGCTCCCCTGTGTATGTGCGTTTATTTGTCGCTGTGGCATGCATCTTCCTGTAAACGGCATCTTTTTCTTTCTTTGTAACTTGGTTTGTCTGTGTGTGCATGTGTGCGTATGCATGTGCATCTTTGATAGCTTTGTATGTTTATCCTTGCAGGACATGAATATTTTAAGTATGTTAAGTGAGATGACTTGTTCAGTTGTTGCTTTTAAGCACAGTCTCTATTTGCCCATGAAAACAATGCAAATATGAAGTTGACAATAAAATTCATCCACAAAGGGGTTTGTAGCTTTATAGGCTGAACAGGTGGAAAAGCTGGGTTATCGATACACACAAAATGTAATTCATTTGCTGATTTTCATACTGTAAATGTTGTACATTTGGATGGAAACTTGACCGTTTGTATTGACCTATGTACTGTATGCTCTACTTATACTATACTATGAATGTGTATCTGTTAACCTCCTGTCAGACGTGTATAGGCCTCAAGTTGTGTGTTTCCTAGTGTGTTTTTCAGCAGATGTGTGTGTGAGAGAGAGGTTGCCACAGTAATCCAGATTCTGCCGATTAGCTCTATTACACATGTCGAGCCAGGGGAGCCTGATGCATACATTGCTATCACATGCTATTAATGATATGCCTATTAGGCACAGGCACACATACAGTATGTTCATAAATCAAGCGTGACATATCAGCATATCAGGGTGGAGGTGAGCCTATATGAGACACTTTGATTATGATATGCTAATCTGACCTATAATTTACTTTCTGCCATTTCTCTGTCATCTCCACCAGCTCAGGTGTTCCCGCTACCCTCCATGCTTATCTCAGCTCCATTTAATTTACTCTGTGTATTGGCTTGTGTGTTATTAGAAACTACAAAGCTGTATACAAAAAAATCTATATTTAAAACATTAGCAAACAACTGTTCATTCATTCAGACTATGCTGAGATCCTTAATTGCTTGGTTTGACATCATGTACTATGAAATAATCAAAGGCTGTAACGCTGGGGAAACCACCCACCACAGAACTGCAGAGCGCATAGCTCTGTATCCCTGATCAGTTTTTCAAACAAAAAAATAAAAAAGGGGGGGGGGGGTTGAGGAAACTGAAGTTAATTTTTCTGATGATGCCTGTTAATTTGATACAATTTTTCACTAAGTCTGCCGCAGCTTGACTTCTCTCCAGCACCATAAAATGTCTGCTGTGCACTGGGGAGATCGAAAGCCTGCTCCTTCTTTAAGAATTAATGTTAGTTTAACGAGAAAAGGGATTTAAAAAGTGCTAATGGTTGAGTTAATGGATTTCTCTCCTCCTAACCCCCCACCCCCTCAGCCGTTGCAGATTGACGACAATTTCTGTGGCCAGGACTTCAACCAGCCTCTAGGGGGCACCACTGCCATCGAGGGCATCCCTCTTTACACGGACAAAGATGACGGCATGACCTCTGTGGTGGCCTATGACTACAGAGGAAACACCGTGGTGTTCACTGGCACTCGCAGCGGACGCATGAAGAAGGTAGGTATCCTGGAGTGCGTCTTTGTCTGTGAAAGTTTGTTTGTGAGAGTATGAGCAAAAGCACTATTGTTGTTGTGGTGAGTAAGCCTCAAAACCTCAAGTTTAGTGATTTATGGCTTAACTTAGCTCAAAGGACTTCTGCACAAAACTCAATGATCATACAGTTTGGCTCAGAATCTGCTTTCAAAACCTAAATCAGATAAGTTGTCAGCCATTGATATAGGATGGCATGTTGTGTGTTCCTTGTCTTAAAATGGATTTTCACTGCTTTGTCATTGAGTACTTTTGAAACATAGCAACTAAGACACATATACCTTTGAAGACAAAAGTAAGGAAGCCGTTCTAGAGATGCAGGTTTTCTCCTACAGTGGAAGGCTTGTTGTGTTTGTGTCTTTTTGGGTGATGTGTAGAATAGAGCTCATGCTTTTAGACATACTTTATTTTTGATTTTATTTTTGATTTATGTGGGTTTTGTCTTGCTCAGTGTTGTCTGGTGATCTAGGACTATCAAGAGCCATGAAGTGTTTTCTGAGTGGCTATAAGGTGGATGACAATGATTTCTTATATGCCTCTCGGATGAACAGATCCCATGGTGGGTGATTGTGTGTTTGTTTGTGTGTGCGCTTATTCTTGCAACGAGAGCCACAAAATCTGTCCTCACAATCACAGGCAAGCAGTAATTTTATGCTGAGTATACACACAGCATGCGGTCCTTTTTGTGTGTATGCCTGTCAGTTTACACTAAGTGTGTGTGCTCCTCAAGTAACCATGTTGAGCAGACCGCATGGCGCGTGTGGCAATCAGCTGCTCCTTCATCTAAAATCTGACTGAGCTGCTTGTGTGTTTTTTCTCTTTCTACTTTTTCCTCAGCAGAACACCTTCATATGAGTATGTCTGCATCACTAGTACAGCAGAGAATAAATAAAACAATCACCTGAGGATAAAAATAATTGAATAAATACATACATAATACAAATAAAATGTATTTAAAATATTCTGTTGCTTTGGGTTTGATACGCGTTTGACTGTTTAAGCATTATGCCTGTGTTTCTGTAGTCAGTATAATCCGTTGTGCAGCTGTCAACTGCTTTCGTACAAGTTATGATAATATGCACACACTTGTGCAGACACGCACGCCACCTTACACAGCTTCCTGTCCCTGGTGTTTTGCTAAGTCGACTGAAACCTAGCCCGCTAGTCCTTGCGCCTGACCCCTGGATTGTGTTTATGTGTGTGTAGTGTGTGTGGAGTGTGTGGGGTCAGCAGATCCTGGATGATATCCCGCTGATCGGAATCCCATTTCCTCCCAGCCGGCGTGTCTTCCTGTGCTTGGGGATGGAGGGAGGAAGGTGAATATGGAGGTGGAGGCTGCCAGTGTCCTCACACAGATCAATGCAGATGCTGCAGTAACACGCAGTCATCTGTACAAGCAGGGAAATGGCAAGATAGGACACCAACTGCTATAAATCACCAGTGATCCAAGCTAAAGCCAGTTTATGAGGCTTTTTACATTTGCCAATGTCTGGTAGGGCTTTCCTGTGTTTTACCTTTAAATTAGATCTTTCCAAATAAACTAGAGAACAAATGACTGAATTAGATATGTACCACACAGAATTTAGGAGGGAGGAAAAGGTGACTAGAACAGTTATTAGTAAGAAGGAGAAAGAGAGAGTGAGGCTGAGGCAGATGGGGAGAGATGGTTGCAGGCTGTGTGCTTTTATTGCTATTCACTGGAAGTTAAACTGTGCTCCTTGGCCTAATGAAATGTAAAGCTGCAGTGTATTGATGTCTGCACACACACGCTCACACACTCATTACAGTGTGACTTTTGCTAAATGTGTGTTTGCCTACGTGGACACGTCTCAGCTGCTAGACTCACTATATTGATTGATCTATGAATATATAATCACTAGTGTAAATCTAAAGCCAAGGCAGTCCATTGGATAAGTGTTGGTGCCTTTGTCAGGGTGTGTAGTTGTGCATGTGTGAGAAAGACAGAGAGAGAGCTGTGACGTAAGACAGGGTAGATCTGTGTCGCTTTACATCAGCATGACTAAGCACACAGCATTTATGTGCAAAATACCCAACTAACATTCCCATTACTGTTGTTTTAATGTCATTCTTTCTTTATAGATTTTAGCTGTTCATGTACCAACACTGTTGTATTAGTTTCTCTTTTAGAGTGCAGGTCTGATTTATGAGTTACAGTAACCAATTAGCGCTCTATAGGTGGATTCTTCTGATCGACCAAGGTTTGATATTAAACATGACCAAGTGTCCCGTGGCCACAAAAACTTCCTGTGTGGGAAAACAACACAAAAAATTGTGATCTTTCATGTCTTTATTGAACACACTCATTCAACATTCAAAATGGTAGTGGAAAAAGTAAGTGATCCCCTGCAATTAATAACTGGTACAGACATTCTCACATTATCCTGAAGAATTTTTTAATAAACTTGGGAATTCATCTTCTTCTCAATGATTGCAAGCTGGCCAGGCCCTGATGCAGCAAAGCAGGCCCAAATCAATGTTTCCTCCACTTCTACTTTACTGTTGGGATGATGTTTTCATGGTGCTATGCAGTGCCCTTTTACGTCAGATGTAGTGCTGCGCGTTCTTTCCAAAAAGTTCAATCTTAGATTCATCAGTCCACAAAACATTTTGCCAGTACCACTGTGGAGTGTCAGTGTGCTCTTTTGCAAACTTCAGGCCTGCAGCAATGTTCTTTATAGTAAGCAGCGGCTTCCTCTGTGGTGTCCTGCCATAGACACCCTGATTGTTCAGTGTTTTACATACTGTAGACTCATGAACACAGATGCTAGCCATTTCCAATGATGCATTCAAATCTTCGGCTGACACTCTGGGTTGTTTCTTTACCCCATTGATGAGTCTTCGTTGTGCTCTTGGGGTCATTTTGACAGGGCGCCCACTTCTTGGTATAGTAGCCACCCAAAGTGCTTCAATTTGTAGATCATTTGCTTAACTGTAGACTGGTGAATTTCTAAAGTCTTTGAAATCACTTTATAACCCTTTTCAGCTTTATGTAAATCAACAATTCTTGATCGTAGATCTTCTGAAAGCTCTTTTTGGCAAGGCATGGCTCACATAAGCAGATTGTTCTTGTGTGGAGCAAGCTCAAAAGCTTTGAGTGGTTTTTATTAGTCAAAGTAGCTCTAGTCCACACCTCCAAACTCATTTTCTTAACAAGAGTCCAGGTATGCTAACACCTGACTCCATTTAATTTTTTTGAGGTCATTAACTCAAGGGTTCATATACTTTTTCCACTAGCACCATGAGGTTTTTATTGTTGTTCTCGTTTAAAGACATGAAAGATCAGTTTTTTGTGTGTTGTTTTGTTATATTAGGCACATTCTATTCATCAATACTCTTGATTTAGATGAAGATCAGATCACATTTTATGACAAATTAATGCAGAAAACCATGAAATTCCAAAAGGTTCACATATTTTTTTTCTTGCCATACCATATGTTTTCCAGGCACCTGTTTTCTGTTTAAATAATTGTAAAATATAATAATTCTGCCCATGTATTTTAACAAAGAAGGCTACAGTTCAGACAGACATGACTGACTCAGACACAATGATGGGAGGGAAGGAGCAAAAGAGAACAAGCATGAGGCAGAGGTGTGTGTGTTTGTGTGTGTGTGTGTGTGTGTGTGATACTATATACATAAAAGAATATTACTTGTTCTCATTGACGATACATAGTCTCACTTTATGTTACAAAAACAGCTGCTAGGTGACTAACAGAGCCAAATTTATCCTACCCTGTTTACTTTCTCTTTATCTTACTGTATTTCATTGTCATGCTTAGGTGCCAGAAAGGAATAAATAATGCATTTAAGTAGTGCCAGTATTTTTTAAAGTAGTGTTATTAATTGTTAGATGTTCATTACAGAGAGAATGATAGAAGCTATAGATTAAGAGGATGCTGTGCTAAAGGACATAGTAGAATGTATGGTACAAGACTCAGGGTTACGAGATGAACTAGATGAGATGGAGGGTGTCTAATGAAAGATGAAAGATGTGCAATCAGTTGTAGGACAGAGGACATGCAGTATGGGTGGAGAGAAGAGTTTGTAGTGCATGGGATGGAGCCTTGTCTCTTCCAGCCAAGTCTCATTGCTGCCAGCCAGCAGCAGCATATATACAGTACAGTATTATATACCGTTGTTCTTTGCCTAGTACTTGATTAAATTTCTATTTTAAACATAACAATATATCTGTTGGTACATCAATAAGGTGTGGGTGGGGTGGAGTTTTAACAGCATGAAAATGCACTATGGGCTGCCTTGTGTGCCGTTTGCCATGTTTTGCCAAAAACATCCTAAAAACCTTCCTCAAATTTCGGTAAAAACCTGAAAATCCTTTCATTCCCATTATTTTGTCTCCTCTTTTGTCTACCTGGGGGAACAAGGCTCTTTTGCCACATTAAGCAAGATGAAAAAAAGACTCTACAGCCCGACGAATTTCCAAATTTCAGAAAGAAAAAGAGGCAGGCAAGATAGACCTAGATGGAGAGTTACTCAGAGGGGCGTATAGGTGTTTGAATGTAGATGTGTGTGTGTGTGTGGTGGCTGAAGGCTGAATGGTTTCATGTCATTTCATCATTTCCCTGCTAGCAGCAAATCCAATTACTTTTCCCTTGCTTTCTATCTTGGAAGATATCCTGAGTGACAGGGCCGATTGGAGTACAGCGCTACTGAGTTAACTGTGCCAACTGGTTGATTGACATAACGCTGGCACTTCACCGCCTTGAGACAAGGAGACAAGTGAAACTGGTTAGACTTCAGGGCTTCTCAGAGCTGCTGAGGTGGACCAAAATTTTACCTGCCCTGCTTCTTCAGTTGTACAGTACATCTATATCCCTCCTCTGCAGAAATTTAATTCACTCTTGGGCAAGATGCTCCGTGTGTGCTCCTTAGCTTCTGCATAACTGTAGTGACATCCTGTCTAACTTAGCAGCTCCACCTAAGGGAGA